CTCACACCGCTGTGGGTTCGAATCCCGACATGGTCTTTGGATTCTTTCATGTGAGAAGCTATCCAGCTAGCTAACGGAACGTCGGTGGTTCTACTCAGGTGCCTGTTCGTGCCTGAAATAATGCACGGAAGGGCACCTGAGGTCTTCCTCCACCAGTAAAGCTGGAACGTCGCGATATGACCTATTCTGTGTCGATGTGACGTAGAACTTAAAACAAACAAACAACGTGAACAAATGTACATATACCAATTGATCAATCACTGTACAACACTTAAGATTTGCGCTGTCAAAATTATTGCGCGGTTCTTCAGTACAAAAAAAGTTAATTTTATTCGCTTAATTATGAATTCGCGTCATCATCGTTTTTATAGTATTTAGTGTTCCTGGATAAGATTAGATATTCGCAAGTTCGGATGAGAACGTGTATATTTATTCATTACAAATATTTATTTATTATTATAACTTTGAATCTGTGAGCATTAGAGAAAATTAGCCGTACACGAATATAATTATTTCTTCAGTTATATATCAACATTCAGCAAAAACTATAAAAGTAAGCCATAAGGTAAATATAAACTTATATAAACCAGATATGCAGTCATACACGTATTGTTTGCATCCATAACTATTATGCATGGATGTCAAATATATAAATAAGATGTATATAAATTTAGTTCCCTATTCCATATTCTTTTTTCGAATAAGGAATAGGGAACTAGTTCCTGATTCCTTATTAAAATCTAAATAAGGAACAACAGAATTAGTATTTATATAAACTAAAATTTTGGCTGATCAGAAAACTAGAACGGTTTTTCTTCCATAAATCTTTTGAAAATTGCACAAATCAATCAAAATCATAGAATAAAGCATCTGCATCGACATATTTTTAAACAATATTCAAGTCGAACAAGGAATAATGAACTCTTTCCTTATAATATAATATAATACAAATCCTAATTCTGCTGTTCCTTATTTAGATTTGAATAAGGAATCAGGAACTAGTTCCCTTTTCCCTATTCGAAAAAAGAATAAGAAATAGGGAACTAATTTTATATACATATAAATAAGAGTTTGTTTCCAATTGTTGCTTTTAGCAAATCATTTATGACTGAGAAGTTACCTCAGAATGCTTTCCAGGTTATTGTTACTTGTATACACAAGATGATTTATTTTTACTATTGTCTCCTTATTTTGTAATTACAATGAAAAAGTTCTGTTATAATTATATATCATAGTCCAATGTTACTTAACACTATCAATTTCTTGCACAAAAGCAACATATACCAGTTGTTTGCTGCGTACGAAATATGTTTAAATATCGTTCATTTTATTACGTTCAAAAATGGTACCTTGTAAAATCATTAAAATCGCATTTTAGGTAAGGACAGAAATAGCTCTGAAATCGCACCACTTGAAGTTAATAATTACATAAATGTGGTGAACCACAAGATGCCTGACTTTTATTTTTTCATATCATTTATATCTGAGATAATAACAAAAATCTCCGAAGCACCAAATTAACTCATTTCGTAGCACCAGTATGCGGTTGAAAATCTTAAAGTACCAGTCATGCGTTATACGAATATGACCGTTCAATGAGAATAAAATGTGGTATTCAATGTGAGTGGCTTAAATGTTTAAACATGTACTATTTCGTTGGAGTATAAAACAAGAGAGACCACTCTAATTTTCTCTTTATGATTAAATCATACTGAGTTATCTACCTTGAATTTTTGTATTGATGAAATGTAATGAGAAATTATCACTTGCTTAACTATCATTGTGATAGATATACGTAATGACATGGTATTTATTAAGCATTATATGTTATATCATTTATAGCCATAAATAATCGCATATTATACAAACATATAATGGGCAAGTACATGGTTAACAAATAATTTTAAGTATTTTGTAAAAACAATTCAAACATTTCACCATTTTCTGTAATAAAGTGAACATTTAATATTAGATAACATCTGTCAGAAATAAATTTTAAACAATATTCGACTTTTTCGAATGAGAAACTTTATAAATAAATTTACTCACATTAATAGTATTTTTAACAGTCTAATGTCATAAGTATGGTGGCTGATTTGTGTCATTCGTGTTTCGCCCCGCGACCCCGCCAAGTGAAAAGTCGAAAATTAACAAGTTAAAATGACGGGGGCGCGCAGCAAAAACACGCTAATTAGCGAAGGCGCAGGGCGAAATTTAATAAATAAAACTTCGTCCCGCGGGGGCGCGGAGCGAGATTTAAGAAATAAAACGGCGGGGTCGCGTTAGTTAGCTGGGTCGCGTGGCGAAGTTTTGTTTCCTAAACTTCGCCCCGCGACCCCGCTAATTAACGTGTTTTCCTCCCGCGACCCGCCAAGCGAATGTCGATAATTAACATGTTAAAATGGCGGGGACCGCAGCGAAAACACGGTAATTAGCGCCCTCGCTAATAAGCGTGTTTTCGCTCCGTGCCTCCGCCATTTTAACTTGTTTATTTTCGACTTTTCGCTTGTCGGGGTCGCGCGCAAAAACACGAATGACACAAATCAGCCACCATACATAAGTGTAATAACGGCTGCTTTAATCACGTTTAATGTCGTTTGTTTTCTTGTTAAAACATATTCAGTGAAATTTGAAATCTCTCTTAAAACATATTTTTATGTTGTTGTTTTTTTTTATGTTTTATGTTCTATTTTTATAACACAAAAAGATACATGTACTGTAATAAGAATCAAGAAAAATTTGAAATTCGTCACTTTATTTTGATTTCAACATGAAAATGCATATAACTGGGAATAAGCGAATGCGACTTTGCATGTCATGAAGAGAACATTATCAAAATGGAACAGCAGAAACTGCCATTGTATTTCCACTATGAAGAGTATTTAAATTGCTCATTGCTTGAAATCCCACTGTTGCCATATTTTCTAGGCAGTATATATCCCACCCGTTTACCAATTTAGATAAGAACAGCTTGGTTGCAGTTATAACAGTTGTTATCTTGTTGTTGTTGTTTTGTTTTTTGGGTTTTTTGATGTTTTTTTGGCCAGGATTTGCACTAAAAAATAAAAAATAAAAAAAGAATGTAGATAAAACTGACATAAAAGAAGATCATATCTTGTAAATCCGGTTTAAAACTGATATTCATCTAGTAACTTTGGTAAGTTTAATGTGTACTTTTTAAGAAAAATAACACGAAAACTCTTCATGTAATATCTTAATTTCAGCCATATATAAAACGCTTATTTATAACTGTCACCCTTAAATATAATGTTTCATATAAAGTATCTACGAAATATAAACCAATAAAACACAATATTGAAGGATCTACGACAATTCGAATTCGATAAGATTACGACTATGAACAGTTGGGGAAAAACTTGTGTTGCGGGCAAGTGCGTAGATATATTAAAATGAAATATAAAACTGCATTTGCGCATCTTTCTTGTTCATCCCCATTTTCTTATACAATAAGTTAAACCTTCGTTAAACTTCGTGTTCAGTATTCATCATACAAGAGTATCTCGCATGACGAAACATTCATGTATATATACGGTCTATACATACATGTACATGTATATGTGCCGATATTATTTAAATATTTGTACCAATTTATATCTACATTGTGTTAAGTAAGCGATATTCAGTTTGTAGAGCAAAGTCGTGTCACGTTTTCAACCGTAAATGACTGACTCTATTCGACAAAATTAAAGGCCCAATAAGCTTGAAATGCATCATTTTTAATATTTTTTTTTTTGTGCTATGTTAGGTTTTTTATTACATGTTTTTAAGTTACTTATTGACCTTACACGTGAGCCATCCTTGGTTCTTTTGCGTTTTGGCAATAAACACATGTGAAAATTTTATATTCAGTATGGAAGACAAAGTATTATATCACGACGTAGTACACATTTTGCTAGCTTTATCACACAACAAAAACACATTTTCACTATTTTCGTCAGAAAATAAACATCTCGTATGTTATTAATTAATTATTGCAACATTACATGTATATAACACAAGTTTGCCTTTTTACCGAAGGAAAAAAAATCATTTCTAAGGTATAATGTGCCTTATAGGAGAGGCGATGTACTAAATTGGTCGATAAAAGAAAAGCACACACAAATTCATCTCCGCCACTGCTGTCATCAATACAAATGTTGCATTTGCAAATCATAATATTAAACAAATAAATTGCAGAAAGTATTTTGATTGTATAATCTAAAACACAAATGTTGTGGAAATAAAATAGTGCATATATCAGTTTGACTCCTTTTGAGCTACATTAAGAATACGTTTTTGTATAAAGCTAAAAATATGAGAAAAAAAAACAAATATTGAAACTTTTTATACTTTAAGAATTTGATCACTTTGATAATGAACAGAACAGAATTTTTATTAACGTATACAATACATGTATCTTGATAATACAACATCAAATTTAATACATACAATACAATGCCTTAAAATATGTTTAACTTTATTATACAACATAAATATAAACTTATACACTGAAGAATCAAAGCGTGATCTATACACAAAATCTAATTTGTATTAAACTTTATTGACTGCTATAATTGTAGCCGATCTTAATCAGAGGTAGATCTTTGATCTTAATACATAAAAAGAGACATATTATCCCATTCATAAAAACTGTCATACCGTTAATTTACTACAAATGTAGTAAACACTGTTTCTAAATTTAGAACCTTAAATTTCTATATTTTGCACCCTGTCGATTAGTCTAGCATTTTTCTGATAGTCTCCCCCTTATGTTAGGAAAACAATTGTAATAACTATATAATTATGAGATTATTTAACTTATAATAATGTTGACTCAATCCACATGTTTATCAAATACCCTGTTTTCCACCAGTTTTGTAAAATATGTATGTTTGTATTTTCACATCATGTTGTTATATGTAACACATGTAACCTGATGATCAATAAAGGTATCTGTCGTAATTTAGTTGAAATATGATTGGTAAATTCATTCAATAATCCTATATAAAAATATAAATGCTTAAGGAAAGTAAATATATCGTTTTAATAGTGTCAAGTAACAAAATTAAAACGCTATTTATAAATAAGGAATGGAATTAATTGTTTATAAACGTTTACATTGCAGTTGCAAATGTAATCAATGTGTACATAATCAAGGTTATTCAGGGTTTACAACATGTAATGTACTAATATCAATCGTCTAGGTTATATATATGTGTATTTAGTCGCTCAAATGGATTTTTTTTAAATAATACGGATTAGTTATAAAAAATCATTCAACGTTTTCAAGGTCGTTGTTGTAAGGTGGCTTATTTAAACCATGTCGGAAGTGTATATTTTCGTTCGAAAAGGGCGAAATGTGGGAAACGCGAAAATATTGTATAAGCTTTGACTTGATTGTATTTTCGTATATTAGACTTTTCGCCAAACCACAACAACAACGAAAAACGCGACAAAAACAACGCATTTATAGAGAAAACAAACACGACACATTTGATATGTCGTTCATGTTTACTATTGTTTGTTATTTGTTCATTTTAACATTGTTTTGTTTTCTTTATTTCGACCTTGTGCATTGTAACCATAGCAAACAAAAATACACCAATTTCATTATATCGCACAATATACCATAAATGCGTGGGATGTGGCGTGGTGCAAAATGCAAAAGCTTTAACTTCCTTTAATTAAGCATTAACAAAACAAAAACCAAAACAAAATAAAATATTCTCATGCGACATGGTTCAAATAAGTCACCATATTGCAGTGTTGAAAGCTGTTTGCCTTTAGTATGGAAAAAGATTGATTTGTTCTCCAATATCTAAATACATAATTACTAAAACGTTTTATACGAAGTATTACGATGCGTTAGCATTAACTTGCCGCTTCACGTGAATATAATAGTAATAACCATGACTCAGGTGTGAGTGAGAGGGACACTTTAATTTGGAAGCTAAGTTAACTATGGTAGAGGTTCGAGCTAACGAAGGATGGGGTTGGGTTGTCGTAATAGGAGCATTTTGTGCCCATGCAATAACTTACGGAATTATTTATTCATTCGGAATAATTTTCATTGCTTTGGAAGAAATATTTGAAGGAAGTAAAACAGAAATAGCGTGGATACCGTCACTTACTACAGGGCTTCTACATTCGTCAGGTAAATAAATGACTTGTAACGAATAATACACTATGTACTGTTTTGTGAACAATAAAATGACAAATACAATGAATTATTATTTTGTGAAACACCTAACTTTAAATGGATTAAATATTTTATACATAGTTAGATGTTAAATAATGTTGAATTTGTAAAGATACAGTATGAATATTTGTAAGATATAAGATATCATGCATATTATTATATTGTGAAATTTAGATGTTGGGAAAATAAGAGTTATAGATTGAGCTCCTCACAAGTATGATGTAGATAATGGTAGTTCTCGTTGAATTAACGCGACCTTTCATATCAATTTCATATACCTAATATTAAGGTGATAATATATACTACTTAACATTTGTAAGGAAATATATTTACGTATATCAGTTTTTACATATAGTTTTATACATGTATGTGTCTGTATACGGGTCGATAAACACTGTTAAAATCGATTCAGCATTTTATACATGTGTATACCTTGGAAAAAAGAAAACAATCTAGACTATACATGGTTCTAATATGTGACTCTCAATTAACGCAGAACATTGTGTATCGTAATTCTACGGTGGCATAGAGGTGACATGTGTGTGTGTGTTTTTATTTATCTCCTGCGATCGAGATACTATATCGTGCGCGTGAGTTACTAAGCGAGTTACTAGGCGACATAGCATCTCGTGCGTACCATTTAATCAATTTCGTGAGCACCACTTACTAACTCGTGCGCACGAGATAAATAAAAACGCACACATGTCACCTCTGTGCCACTTTTTTCGATACAGAACTAAAAATGTAGTTATACCACGTGCATACCCCAACCCCGTCCCATTCCACTGTGGCAGTTTGACGGTAGAACAGCGAGACGTTAGGGGCGTACGGACAAGTGTAAATCTCTATATCGCCATCCCACTAAATAGGGCATCCCACAAAGTAGTGGGGACAAAAATTTTGAATATTTAGTAAAACATATATAACGGCTGATTGACTGGTTAAGAAATTATTTTATTTCTACAATTTACTTTTTCAGGTTTACTAGCAAGTATACTGGTCAATAAATTCGGATGTAGAATAGTGACCATTGTTGGTGGCATAACTTGTACTATTGGATACGTTCTAAGCATGTTTGCTCCAAATATTTATTATCTTTACTTAACAATGGGTGTTATTGCAGGTAATCATTAAACTTTTTGACCTTCTTTTCTGCCAGTACATTTATTTTTTTCAAAACACTCATTTGAATGAAATGCGTAGTATTTTCATTTGAATATAGATAATTTTACTCGTACGGTACTTTTTTAAGTTTATGTATGTAATAAAACCTGAATGGGACATTCTTAGAGCTTCCAAATTTTTAAAACCACTTTCGGTGTCAAGTACTCTAAACATGTGTCATTTAGGATGTGTTTTCAGATTTATTATCTTGCTTTAATGATTCAGAATATGGATTAATTTCTACCATCGTCGGATACCCACGGCCGAACCATTAACATTCATTGATTGCATGTTATGTGACATGTTTATCAATCGTTGGTATCCGACGATGAATTTCTACTAACATGCTCAAATGTTTCCGCATTTTGTTTTATATCTATTACCATGCTCAAATTTTTCAGCATATGGATTTATGTCTATTAACATGTTCCAATGTTTCAGGATGTGGATTCCTATATAATAATATAATCAAATGTTTCAGGGTGTGGATTCCTATATAATAATATAATCAAATGTTTCAGGGTGTGGATTCCTATATAATAATATAATCAAATGTTTCAGGGTGTGGATTCCTATATAATAATATAATCAAATGTTTCAGGATGTGGATTCCTATATAATAATATAATCAAATGTTTCAGGGTGTGGATTCCTATATAATAATATAATCAAATGTTTCAGGATGTGGATTCCTATATAATAATATAATCAAATGTTTCAGGATGTGGATTCCTATATAATAATATAATCAAATGTTTCAGGTGTGTGGATTCCTATATAATAATATAATCAAATGTTTAAGGGTGTGGATTCCTATATAATAATATAATCAAATGTTTCAGGATGTGGATTCCTATATAATAATATAATCAAATGTTTCAGGGTGTGGATTCCTATATAATAATATAATCAAATGTTTCAGGATGTGGATTCCTATATAATAATATAATCAAATGTTTCAGGGTGTGGATTCCTATTTAATAATATAATCAAATGTTTCAGGATGTGGATTCCTATATAATAATATAATCAAATGTTTCAGGGTGTGGATTCCTATATAATAATATAATCAAATGTTTCAGGGTGTGGATTCCTATATAATAATATAATCAAATGTTTCAGGATGTGGATTCCTATATAATAATATAATCAAATGTTTCAGGATGTGGATATTCCTATATAATAATATAATCAAATGTTTCAGGATGTGGATTCCTATATAATAATATAATCAAATGTTTCAGGATGTGGATTCCTATATAATAATATAATCAAATGTTTCAGGGTGTGGATATTCCTATATAATAATATAATCAAATGTTTCAGGATGTGGATTCCTATATAATAATATAATCAAATGTTTCAGGATGTGGATTCCTATATAATAATATAATCAAATGTTTCAGGATGTGGATATTCCTATATAATAATATAATCAAATGTTTCAGGATGTGGATTCCTATATAATAATATAATCAAATGTTTCAGTATGTGGATTACTATATAATAATATAATCCAATGTTTCAGGATATGGATTTCTATATGAAAATATATTCTAATGTTTCAGGATGTGGATTCGGGATGGTGTTTATGCCTGCAGTGTTAATAGTGACACAATATTTTACCAGACTAAGATCAGTTGCATGTGGTATAGCTCTGTCAGGCTGTGGTATTGGTGTTTTCATATTCAGGTTTGTTGTCTCTTTTTAATCACCATTTCTTTTATTAGGTTTTGTTTATGTATATTAATTTCTTTAGCTTTATTATAAAAGAATTATACAATTTGTAACAGTTGTATCAAGTCATTATTCCAATATAAGTGAAGCTATGGTACTGATTTCATATTTAATTTGACCATTAATTAGTATGCAAAAATTGTCCATTTATACTTAAAACATACAATTTGGTGGTCATTGAAATTTTATACAAAGAAACAACTGTATATTATATACCAGTTACCTAAAAAACTGTTTTACGTTGCAAAGGTAACTTGGGTTCTCTTTAATCCATGTTGAATACATTTTGATATTTTTGTTCTTCCATAAAAGCCCAGTTCTAAAGCTTCTATTGGATGATTATTCATTGAAAGGAACTTTGCTGATATTGTCAGCCATAACTCTAAACTATATTCCTTGTGGTTTCGTCTTCCTCCCGCTATCTCAGAAACAAGGACAGCAGCCCGTAACAACCCGTCAGAAATATGACAACCCTGATGAATTTGACTCACTTATGGACCACGATGGATCAGGGACAGATGTGAAAGACAAAGTTCTTATGGAAAAGGATGAACCTGAGTCTTACAAACACCTGAGAGCTATAGATCGGCATGGATATGATGGATATAAAATAACATTAACAGCTAATTGTAGTGAGAAAGTAGGGGACATTGTTGAAATATTTGACCGTAATGAAGACGTAGCCAATGGCGTCATTGTTATTGAGCAGTGTCATAAAAGTCACATATCTCTCTCTACAGACACATCGGGGTCTTTACTTAGAAAGTATTTGGTTCTTCTAAAGAGCAAAAAGTTTCTGTTATTTTTCGTCTCACAGTTTCTATTCATTTTTGGATTTTACCTACCTTTTATATTTATACCGGACAAAGCGAAAGGACTTGGTAAGATCGTGTTTGCAATACTTATATCGGTATTACATGTAATTACATCTTTGCCATACTTTGTCGAACCGTTTTCTATATAAAGAATCGTTTGTATATTTATTTTAGCTACAACCAATCAAGTCATTTGTGTATTCCTAAGTGCATTACAAAAGCGTGATATTCCAACTCTTCAGCATTCTGACAACAAATTTACATCATAAAATTTTAAAGTATCTTTCTTTATTTTTTTTCATCAGCTCATCTTTGAATAAAAGTTCCTTTTTCATTTTGCTAACACTACAAACTGTAATGTTTCCATTACAGGAATCAGTGAAAATAGTTCGGCATGGGTGGCGTCCGTCATTGGAATAATCTAGTATAATTGGGGGGTTATTCTAGGGTTTTATTGCCCACCGACCTTTTGGTAATTGGTAATTTTTATCAAAAGAAAGGAAAAGTAATTTTGGGAATTTAAAAATTGTGGGAAAAGTGTTTTTTAAAAAAACAAAAAAATAAAAAATCCCCCAAGGGGTTTTAAAATTTTTTTTAAAATTTAAAAGGCAAAAAAAAAGTTTAAAGAATTTGGCCTTTTTTTAAAGGTTTTTCAATTAAAAATTTTTAATCCCTTTTGAAAACAATTTTTTAAAACCGCAATTTGGGGCCTTTTTTAAAAAAAACTCAATATTTAATTTATTAATTTTTTTCACAGTTCCCAAAAAATTTTTAAAAATTTCCCAAACCCCTTTCTTTTTTTTTGGTTTTTAATTTTCATCAATTATGTTTTTAAATTTTTGAACTTTTCTGTTTGGGTTTAAATGGTGTTGGTTGTATTTGGGGTTTCATCAAAGGGTTTTTTTGTTTTATTAAAAATTTGTGACGCGTTATATGGCCTTATATGAACTGTTGTTTCGAAATGTAACCTGAGCAGCAAGGTGAGTGTTATATTGCAACCAACCGCTTATATACGGCCATATAACATGTCAGGAATATTTACATGTATAACGAATTTATAAAACAGCAAATTTTTTCCTTTTTTAGAGAACAAAGTGAGATTTCTTCATAAATTGACAAAAGCTGTGTACACGTATATAAAATCTATGTAAACGTAACTATTAGCCAATGAAAAGCGATATTAAAAACGTTCATTATTATAAAAACTAACGAACTGTTCTTGAAAGGTATTTGAGGTTCTACCAAGATTGTAGTTCACTTTATATAAATAGAGTAAATATACAGAAAATATTCGGCCATGTCCAATAGGGCGTCTGGGTACATTTTTATTCGGCTCAGCGCTAAGTGCCTTATATTGTCGGAAAGTTGAGTCAGCAAGTTACTTAATGACGAAGATATACAACAATTTTACATTAGGTCGACGGCTTCGTTGTCACTTTCTGCACGCGTGTGAAGTTTTTATGCAAGGCACAGTAATTTTTTTCTCCACATATGACCAATCAGGGAAAATTTAAAATTAAAAAAGGGGTTTAACTTAAAATAGGATTTTGAAAAAAGGATACAACTCACATGCGGGCTAAATCAAATGGGTTTAAAAACCATTTTTTATACGATCATATAACTTGTAAAAAACTTTAAAATAATTTTAAAACAGGAGCCCAAAATTTCCCTTTTTTAAAAGGAAAAAAAAAGGAAAAATTTCCCGAAAAGGTATATGAATTTTATATAAACGACGATTTCAAAGAAAAAACCTGCCCACAAAAAATACCCTTGGTTTTTAAAACACTATCATTTAATTTTAATCGTGTGGAAAAACGGGCCCTAACCGTTTTTTTTGTATTAAATTTCAAAACTGGTTTCCCGGGGGATTGTCCACCCCCCGGGAATTTCCACGTTTCTATTTTGTAAAAATGTAAAGTTGGGGTTTAGAGCATTTTTTGATGCTTATCACCAAAAATAGAAAATTGAATGTGAAATTGTTGTCCCTAAAGGGAGAAAATGTAATAAATAAATGTTAAATATTTTGTTTTTCGGGTACAAAAAAATTTAAAAGAAACTATAACTTCACTTATTTCCAAAAATGCAAAAAGAAGCAAAAGGGGTTGGGTTAAGTAATTGGCCTCAAATAAATTTTTTGGAACACTTAAACGATCCCCAAACATAAAAAACTTTGAGGGGAAATTTTTGAAAAGAAAATGGGGCCAAATTTGGCCCTTTTAAAAAAAAAATTTTGATTTTCATTTTTTAAAACAGATCCGAATAAACTATACCTTTGATAAAATTAATTGCACGAAAAAAAAAAACACCCTTCTTGTGCATAATTTTTTTCCCCCACGTTTAACAGACAATGTAGGGCTTTTTTAAAAACATGTTTTGCAAATTTGCCTTTTGAAAAATGCCCTTTGCTAAAGTAGATGGGTTTTCTTTTTAAAACCCCAAAATTTGGTATTTTTCCCCGGCAACATATATTGTTCAATATTACCGGTTTTGTCCCCTTAAAAATAATGTGAAAAAACATGTATATAAATTATACGTAATTTACATTACCCTTTTCCCCCTCACTTTCCCTTTTAATTGATGATTAAAAGTGTTGGAAAAAAGGTCATCACAACCCCGCCCCATTTTCCCCGACGATAAGTCCCAATTTTTAAAACCCAAAAGAATTAAATGAAAACCACGCCGTATTTTTTTACGAACGTATTTATAGATTACAGTGTAAATTTGACTATATTGTAACGAAAATGTTAGCATAGCATCAAATTCAATTTCAAAGTTAAATGTATCCACCGAACAGTGTGACACTTATCTCAGTAAATAAAAAGTTTTTCAATCAATGTCAGGGCCTCACCATGTCCTGCTATAGATGAGATGGAAATTGCAGAATATGATTAGTATCTACCAGTTTTATCTGCGACGATTTTTGACCTTATTTAAAAACAGAGGGAAAGTGTAACCATTTAGTACCTGTATATAAAAATTTGTCCAGACAATCATCAAGGGTGTCTTCTTCAAAAACATCAACATGTGTGTTCTCTATGTCTAAATTTATGATCAATGCATCAAACTCCTTTCCTACTTCAAAATTTCCGACTTTATTGTCAATCGATAGAGCTGAAAAAAAAATGAAGAAGTAACTGTTTCAATAGATCTATGCATTTATTCATTACGGCAGGTACATCTGACGGAGATTTAAAGCTTCCAATTTGGTGACCTTTAATTAAAAAAAGTAACATCATCTGCTACTCAACGCTGTTGGTTCAATATCATTTTAAATAATGATGTTAATATGATGATGATGATGATGATGACGGCGGCGGCGACGACGGTTATAATAATTGTTTTAATAATAAAAAACAATTAGAATATCTTGATTTAAGGAAAAGCAAGACCCCACGTGTAACAAAGCTATCAAGCTACATTTTGAAAATGTTCATGACAGGCCTGAGGTTGTATCAAAGTGTCCGTTAATATCAAATATATGTTTTAACTAGATAGTGAAATTGTTCAATCAATTCACTGCCCCACTTATTTTTGTTTCAAATATCAAGTTACAGCAAAGATCGCATTACATGACGATGACAACGACAATTTAACATTAAAGTTACATGCTGCTTTAATATCGACACTATATGATTATAACGATAATTTCTAACAAGGTCACACAGTTGCTCATCTATTTGAGTGAAATAAACTTTTTATTAATCGTACGTTCACCGGGTAATAAAATGTAGATCATACCTTGAGCACCGCCCAATGTCGCTAACTTAAATGCGTCTCTCATAGATAGTGGCGTATAGCCATTTGTACTTGTTATAGCGTGTGCATTTGACACATGCACCGCTACCCGAATGGCGTCAATAATGGATGGATGATAACCTCCGGATACATCTGTAATAATATTATTATTGTTATTAATATTCAACTCATGTTGCTATAAAACTTAAATCTTCAAATGAATAAATGACATTTTTATTATGTTGGTAAAAAATTATGTACTACAAATCATTGACCACATTATTTTACTTTAATAGGATAGGTTACATTCGAATGATAACGGAATCCATTACCCGTGCTTTTCCTGTATATTTAATGCTTAATAATTACCACAGTTTGTTTGGAATCAACGTTATGTACCTTGCATATATCACTCAAACCACAGAAAATTTTTAGAGTCTGTATGGGTAAACTTTTGAAATGCGCAAAAGTTATGACTCGGAGCGCCTTGCCAAAATTACCAAATAGCTTAAAACCCCGTTACCCAAAGTTTTGAGGGAAAAAAGAAAGAGAAGGTATTGAAAAATACGAATAAAACGATATTGTTGTCTTATTCGTTATTCTTTAAAACTTCAACTAAGATTCATTGCTTGGCTTTTGTGATTGAACCCCCCGTCCAGTGTTTACAATATTGTGCAAACTGGCTGACGGACTATCCAATTGTTACACTTGGATAAGGCATAGTCGCTGGATGACCTGGTTCACACAATCGTAAAACATCGGCTATAGTTTGGATAAGAGGCCTCGTACATAGAACTTAAATACACCAACGCTATTGGCTCAGGTTATAAGGCCAGTGTTCGTTCGTTAAAAGTAATAAATGACATATTTAGTATTTACAATATTTCCCTTAGTGATACCATTTCAATTAACACGAATCACATTGAAAACAATAAATAATGATTAAATTTTGAAAACTTAAAAGTGACATCACATAATTATCAAATAAAATGGCGGAATCGTTTACCACTGGCTGAGACCGCCATTTTACCATGTGACTCAAAGTAGTTCCAGGATTACTAAGTATGTCCAGGTTCATTGCGAAGCATAATAGAGTACTGGTTGACACAAAAAATGTGGTTTTTGATCGTGATTCTGTTTGTGAGCAGTTGGCCTAACAATGGACAGAAAAGGCAGGGCTAAATTTTTCACTAACAGGAAGTGGAAAAGTCTTTTGATTTTGAAGCAACAATTTTCTTACCGGTTCCAAGTCCTACTTGTATGCCGTGCTTGAGTAGATTCTGTACATCCAAAAGACCACTTCTTAAACTGTAGACATAAAAAGATAAATCATATATTCTTACAATGTAATATCTGAACGCCGCTTTGAATCACAAGACGATAGTAGTTTGAATCAAATCTTCCAGTCAGTATCCTTTGATTTGCTTTGCTTTGAATAAAGAAAAGTTCATTATCAAAACTGAGCTACCACCAGAACAGAGTCTGTTACGATAATAAGCTAATCTAGCTCTGTTTTTGTTACTTTCGGTTCCAGCAAGTTAAGGGTTAAGATTATGTAAGTTAATGTATTAAATTATCCACCCCACCCCAGCAGGAAATTTCAAATGTATACAGATTAAAAATCTGGAAAAAAGTGATGTCTCGGAAGCATTAGTAACAACAGAACTACATGTATATTAAAATTGCAGACTCGAGTTGATTGAATCTGTATATAAGGGATAATGAAAAAGTGCAACATCTCTCAGGGGCCCCCCCCCCCAGCACCCGGGTTGAGCGGTACTTTATTTTTTTTCCCAAATTTTAAAAAAAAAATGGAAAACCCAAAAAATCCCCGGAAAGGAACCCAAAAAAAAATAACAACACAAGAGTCAAACTTTATAAATTTAAAGACACAACCTTTTATAATTAAAACCAAAAGTAAAAAGTCAGAAATCTACAAAAACCCGTAAAAATTTAAAATTTTCCCAGAGATTAGAGGTTTTGGGGCAGTGGGGGAACAGAACTTCCTCTTTCCGGGGAAAGAGATCCTTTTTTCTTCCTTTTTAAGGGGAGGAAAACAATTGGGGCCCAAAAATTGTCTGTAAAAAATTTAAAAAAGTTATATTGGGGAGTGAGTTTTTTGTGTAAATGGGTGTAAAAATAAAAAGAGATTTTTTAAAAAATCCGTTATGCCTCAAAAATGCTTCTAAAATTCCCTTAATTTTCCCCAAAAACTTTTTTTTTTTTGTACTTTTTTAAAAAGTTTCTTAAAAAAAGTTTAAATCATAGGGCCCCAAAAAATCTTGAACAAATCTTTTTAAAATTTTTTTGGGTTTTTTGCCAAAAAAATAACCCCGTGATTTTTTTTATTAAACATGGAAATCAATATAACCACTTTTTACATTTTGCACGTTTATGACCCAAAATTTTTTTAATTTTTTATCCCCTAATTTTTTTAGGTTACAAAGATTTTTCATGCCCTAAAAACCCCCTTTATTATTTTTTTTACCTTTAAAAAAGCATAGAAAGAATATGAAAAGGGGGGATTGAAAATTGTACGGTAAGACAAAAAAGGGGTTTTTAATTTAGGTCATTACATTTTTAAATTTTTAACCCTTTCCCTATACTAGCCCTCTGTAAAGCATTCCTCTATAACGAAAAATATCCCGGGCCCGCGCCGGTTTAAGTGGTTAAAAGCTATTGCCTCGGGAACCCAGGAAAAAAGGTTCAGCCCTATCGGGTCAGGGAAATATTTTTTTTTTAAAACCAGAATGGTTAGTTCCAGGAACGGACTCGAACGTGATTAAAATATTGGTCAATTTAAGTTTGCAAGAACGGGGTTCGCATCGGGTTAAAAAAATATTTTTCAAACTAAACAATTTCTTTTTCTGAGTGTGACTTCACAAAAAAGTTAACATTTAAGGGTACGCCTCTTAAGGAACAAAAGGGTTGCACTGCAGAGATTGACTGTTAAAAAATAAATTTGATTTTTAGGTTATTTTTTTAACTGCTGTAAAAAAAATTTTTTAATTTTCTTTATTTTAAAACTCTCAAGTTTAAATCACTTAAAATATTAAACATGATAGCCTTAAATAAACAAATCTCATTAAAGCTTTAAACTCAGTCCATAGCGCCGAAAGAAATAATTCGTTTTAATTAATATGTTATATTTATACTACATAAAGCTATCATTCAGTCAGTGCAAAACTTATTGAGGAGAAACATCAATATCGGATGACAAATATAGGCGATAATTACTCCTGATTTTTTGTATGATATTCACTTTCATACCTGTTTAAATGATTTAAGAAAATACATGTTCTGTTCATACAAATATGTTGTGTCGGTTATTGATCTGCAGAAAAATATCAACGATACATCGATATCGTCTCTATTAATGACAGCTCTAATCCCACGACATATATTTTTGTTTACCTTATCAGTTAACAGACCAGCCTTGTCGTAAACAGTCGCATAATTTTTGGAGTCGGGGTACAGCTGTGCCACATATTCAACTTCCGGTTTTGTTTCGCAAATATGTGTCTGAAAATGTTGATATAAAACATAAAATTTCATTGTAATGCAAAAGTTTGATAAGTATATGTTAATGGAATGGCATGTGATATGGTAACAAATGTTGATCAATTTAATGGCAATAATGCACGATAGAACGTCGTGCAATATCTGTCCTTTGGAATTTTCGCAGAAATATAATCGTTCTGCAATTTGAAAGTGGTAGAACGTCGAAATATGTGCGTTTGCAATTTTGTAGCGGAAGGAAGCCGATATCTGCCCTGCATTTTCATAGCGATAAAAGCTGATACATGTTATGTGGAAAGTTGAGCAAAGCTATAGAACGCATTTAACAATCTCCCACGCAGTGATCTCCCCTTATAGGATTAGATCTCTGCCAACGATATTAATGTTTTCAATTTGGATATTAATTGTAAAATGTAAACACGGTTTTGATGTGAACTAAAATAATAAAAAAAAATTTAGAAACATAAATATAATGAAAATAATTAAAAAAAAATTTAATATCGCACCGAAAGAGAAATCATTCAACTAAAAATTAATTTCGATTTTACACTTTTTTTTTACATCATATCGACAGATTTGACACCAGAGATCAACCTATATATAATATCGTTGTTAATTACTGATAAAACAATTGTTTAACGATTATCTTATCCGCCATCTTTACACAATGTTCTAAAGACGATCACCACGTGATTTGTGTGAAGGCAGAGGTTACTTGCCGTAGCGTGGAGATTGCGCATTCAAGTGCCGTTAAATATTTCTTAAGAGATAGAACGCCGAATAGTTCCTGATTGGTCGAAGATTTCTAATATTGTGAAATTTTTTTAACATTTCCGAAAATTACTGGTAATATTTTCAAACAAATTTGTTACGCGGATGAATATCATCATAATCAATGAAAATTGCTCGGCTATTTCCGTAAAGCTTCGGATTATTGTAATCGCCTAAATGAACATTTGGTAAAAATAAAGTAAGGATGTTGACACTAGGACAGGGACGAGCTTAGGCAGTCGACGAAAGATAATCAATTGCTACTATAAGTAAGGGTCTTATATGTTTAAGCAAACAAACAAAGCGCTATATTTAGCCATACTTTTGCGCGTCTTTCAGGGTCTTTCAAATAGAAAAGCATTTTCTTTTTGAAAGACTCTGATTACACAAAGAGTAGTGAAATATTATATACATGTGAGAAGACTTTTCTTATATTACATGTATTAAGCTCCATGATTATTTACATCAGTGTTAAACAACAGGTTTACCGTGAACAAAATATCTCAATTACATACCTTATTTAGGAATAATGTTGTTTGCTTCAGGGTGTATTATTATAACTTATATTATATACATGCTCGTTTAGGAAGCGAGAGGTCTGGGGCTCAAATCCCAGTTAAGGCAACTCGTGTTATCGTCGATAGTTAGCGGCAATTTAATGGCTATGTCAAAAAATTATCATACATACGCAATGTAAGAATTAAATTTCAAACATTTTTATTATGATGTCAAGTTTTAAACAGTTACCTGAACAGGAATGTTGTACTCCGCAGCAAGGTCACCGAGTTTTTTCATTAAGCTCTCACAACATGATACTGCGAACCGCGGAGTTATCACCGGAGTTATATTGTCATACTGAAAATAAAGCATTTTATTCACTGATAGTCATTATAGTTAGATTATGAATGTGTCCTTATTTAGCTTTTATGTAGTCCTTAGTATTATTTAGATTAAACATTTATGGAAAATCGTGAAATTATTGCTTGATTTAAATACATGTATTATTTTGTTAGTATTATCAGGGTCTTTCAAATAAAAAAAGTGGCAAGTTGGTGAAGATTTATGTTCATTCTTTAAAAAAGTTACTTCAAAATTTCGATATTCAGTGGGGTTTTTGTGATCACGTGGTTACGGTTTACAGAGGTGTACTAATTTCCGCTCGTCTCAAGGGGTTCAAATCCAACAGGATTTCTTTCCTGTAAGGTAACTATCTAACTACCGTAGTTTCCAGAAATTTAAAGTTTTTACTCAAGTACTTGATGGTGATAGGGCGTTTACCACAACTTTTCCACGCAACGTAAAATATCATACTTCTGAACGGAAAAGTTGTGGTAAACTTCTTGCTGCTGTCTGAAGTTGTGGACGTTATTTGTCTCCTTTAGAAAATCTAGTGATGGTCCTTTGCGTCTCCATAACACATAACTGTAAGATTAAGGGTAACACTTACCGCTTTCTTTTGTATTGTTTCGATATACCTGCAAGGGGAAAGTAATGTTGATAATAGATTAGGAAAACTATCATAATTATGGTGAACAAAATATTTTTCAATGATTACTGTCAATTGCCATCCAACTCATTTTAAATAACATATATTATATAGTGTATAATGTTTTGAAAGAGTGGAATGTATGCCTTAATATAGAATACCTTATGGAAATTTTGTATCCTAAAGCAACCATTATTTAAATACAAAATTTATAGATCTAAATTAAAGACACTGGCCTGCAGATGGTTAAATGAAAAAGAATGAAACAAAATTTCAGGTAAACAGTAAGTACCGATTTAATTGGGTTAAATATGTAAATCCGATATTACTGACATCTTAATTCAAGAAAGAATGTTGAAAAAGGCGTCAATATATCTGTTGTTTCCTTTGCATAATCTACTACGCTAGACAAAAACATCACCCTATTATTTCTAATAAACAAGACATTGTATGCACATAGTCAAAAGTAGGCAGATCATATATCATCATATTTAGTGCACGCACATTTTATGCCATGTCTGTGCATAATTAATTCTGAACATGCATATATCAATAGTAGATAGACCGATATTTAAGACAGGTTACCTTCTCGTCTCTGATACAGACTCATCTACCGACCCTTCGACATAATAATCTGGTGAATTTTGATTCATATTTACTTTTCCTACCAGCGCCCTCTGTCCAAGTTCATCTATAAATAGCACACTTTTCTTATGAATTTAAGAATATTAAATGATTATAATTATGAATATTTTCATAGGCACCTTTAATACAAGTTAATCTTACCACGTCTAGATAGCAATAACATACTAAGAACATTATATCTTTAGAGGCGTGCAATACATGATTTACAGACTTTCCTGACCTAATGAAAGATCGATGAAACGCCAACGTTACTTTAGACGCCACAGATCGATTATTCATTTGTCTGTCGATTATTTATTTGTCCGTCTACTCACCTAGTGAGAATGATTGTAAGTGTACAATTATGATAAGGACAAAAATCCAATAGTTTCAAAGTTTTAAGTAATATGTAGACTTACTTATTATATCACATAGCAACACAGTAGCGTCGGTGTCAATCGTTGCGTAGTAACAAGCGGTTGTTGTCCCATTCCGTAGCACGCGACTCTAAAATAAGAATGAGATTTATGTGTCTATTTTGATCCTTGTGTTTCATTCTTAAAACCTTGTTTATAAATGACTCATATTATTACACGCTTGAAACGTGAACATTCGTGACGCTTAATTACATTTTCTCTTTGATCAGAATTGTGTCATTCCGAAAGCAATCTATAACATCCCCCGCCGCCTGCGATTTCTTCCTTGTAACAAATAAAAAATGAGAAAAGGTATTCTAGAAAGACAATATTATTTCCATTTTTTACTTTTACCGGTCATTTGAAATAATAAGCAATTGAATATTCAACTTAGATAGTGTTCAACCCGACTAATAAAATCTCAAAGCAAACGGAGGCCGGTAAGGGCCATTCGAACCGTATTTAACTAAGTTACTGATTTACGCGCTGATTCAATGATATTTTTTATTTCACTTACCACGACTCTCTTATATGCGTGCGCAGCAAAATCAAGATCTTTGAATTTCACTTCCGTCGGAAAGGTGTAAGTTGTAAGCCACTCCAAAAGTCCCATATCTAGACCCTTGCCGGCATTCGGATATTGAGGGGCATGGATATGGGTGTCTATAAAGCCCGGCATCACGAACTCTCTGTAACAAAACAATTGTAAAAAGCTTTTTTTTTTATTTTCCAGACAAGTTTCTTTACATGTGTATATCTTCTTAACTATATCAACTGTATGGTATATTTCAATGCTCTTTCTAGAAGTACAAACTTGAGAATGTAGGTGGGGCAAATGCCCCCCCCCCCCCCAAATATGACAAAATAGTTTATACAACCGCAAGTTTCTACCAATATGTTTACGTCTTGGATGCTTCAAAAAATTAGGATATCAATTTCATTGACAAAACATAGAACAAATGAACAATTTCTGTAAATTCACACTGATTCTAGCAGAAGTTTAAGGCATGTTTCTTTCAAATATTATAGCATTTCCCGCCAAAGGAAAAAATGTATTATTCTACACAATTTATATACCTAAAACATACTAAGAAATTCTTTTGCATTTTTTTCTACCTTTGGCCGTTTTAAGGCTAAAATAACTGGACTATCTGTTGCAAATGAAGTGTCGTTACATATATCTTGAAATTTCATCGTTCAAATTTCTTTCTTAGATAAAATAGATAAACCATATTGTTTTTCTCCAATTTGAAAGTAAGGTTAGCATGTATTTTTTTTATTTTACACGGGATGTCATATTGATTATCCCAACCGCAAATTTGCATATGAGAATGCCGAGGTACTTTACGATGATTTTGTAAATTTATAAGTGAAATACAATGATTAATTGACAGTTTTCATTTGTCATAATATCTTTGGCAATCATTTTTACGTATTTCATCTACCATAAATGCTTGAAAAGGCTTTAACTATGATAAACATATAACTTCCTGATTTACTGTTAACTGTAACGTCACAGAAACTAGTTTGAATTATGTTCAACTTGTTGACCAATAAGCCAGTTAATAGAAAAGTACACTGAAATGATTTTTACTGGATTTCAATGACCAAACCAGATAATTGTGTAGTTATTTTACATAACAAGACAAGTAACTGTTTCAATTATTTAACACATTATCTTCTGAAATAGGAAGTAATAAGCATTTTCCCGCCAATAATAAATCTAGTTTGTTCTGCATTTCCGTGTAGTCTGACCAGGCACTACACTGTGTGTTCATGATGTTGCTCAATTTTCAAATTTGATATTAAAATTTCTTTAATTTTATTAAACTATTTCAAATTCAAACTACAGAGATTAATTAAGGGTTAAAAGCATTCTTTTTTCATGAACACGATGTGAAATGGTGTTTATCACACCTATTACAAATCCGTGAAACTTCGGCATATTTCGCCACTTTCCGAGTAAAATCAACCATGCACCGATACGACAATGATGAACCTACGAAGCTGTAACGACCACCTTTTGAAACAACTTCGGAAAGTTACAAATTCTGCCGAGGTTACGGAAGCCACGAGGGAGCGTGAAACATTTTGTAAAATACTTACTTGTGTTCCAGTTTAATAACATTGTTTTCTTTTATTCCAAATTCTGACAATCTCTCTTGAAGACGTTCAACATCGTCGAGGAAAACAATCTGTTAAGGGTTAAACATTTTACTATTCGTACAAATTTTAGACAGAAAGATATGACGTATGCTAAAAAATATGTGAGCCATTAAAGGCACAGCATGCCTCAGAAACAAAAAAAAATTACTTCTCTAGAAAGGGCAAAAATGTATTTTTATGATGTTTAAATAATGGTTTAAGAGAATGTTAAATGCTTGTTACCTAACGAATGAAATTATTTGTCGTAAAAGTAGCAAAATGTATACAATGTTGTATTTTGACTTCCTAGTCTTCCATATACATGTTACACTTTTTAAAACCATTAATAAAGTAAATTAAAAAGTTCGATTTTAAAGACAATTGATAAAATTTTCAGCAACTCTTGCAGTTTTACCCATATTTGCGCTGAAGCACCTAATAATTACACGTACAGTAGAACTAGAGCTATCCATTGCAACGTTTATTTATTTATTATTTTTGTTTTTTGTGAGGTTATAAATCGCCTTTTTCATGTCGCTGATTGATAGTAAAACAATAGCCTGAATAATGTAGAATTTTCAAAAAGGACCATAATTCTATCAAAATCCATTTTAAAGTTACAGGCCTTTAAGAATGACTCAAATAAGTGTATGAAGTTTCAACCAGTTCCGTTCAGTAGAAGTTTTGGAGATACTATGCTGCACCAAAGTGTGGCACCGACGCCAACATCTGGTTAGTACTATATAGCTCTCCCTATTCTTCGAAAAGTCGAGCCAAAAATATATCTTACTATGTAAGCGAAATAGCGTTATACACACACGCGCGCGCGCGCACACACACACACGCGCGCGCACACAAAACACACAATTTTAAGTTTTACTTAAAGCTTTCAAATGGCTTGGAATATATATTCTTAATTATGTCAGAAAGTAGTAGAGTGTCAGTTAGGGTATGACTTCAATCAGAGTGGGAAAATATATGAAAATACAATTCTTGCTAGAGAGGACTATCATAGATAAATCTTTTATATAACTTCATTTTAAATTATTTTATTAGTTCTCCAGCAGTATTTTAGTTAAAAAATTATAAATCATGTTATTTTGATAAAGTTTGATACTGAAGCCTCGTGTATTATGTAATTTTATTATAACCTCATGTTGTCATGTTTGCATGATCTGATTTGAATAAATAATTGAAATTATATATGACACGACAATATATAGCATAAATGTACAAAACAGCTGGGAAGGTTAACAAATAATTACATGTTGAAATATTCTGATAATTATAATGGTTCTGTAAATAAACATCCCCTTGTAGCATACACACAACTTGCTAATGTAATTTATAGCAGATTTATGCCTTCCTAAATAAGTATGTGACATCAGATATTCTAACCGAATTTCACTTGGCTATAATTTAATTTAACAATGAGAAATTTAACAGTGGTTTTAGAACAAGAAATCTAAGGTTCTGTTCATCTGAAATTAAATCATGTTGTGCTAAACATACTAAACTACAAAAACAATATCGAGTTTCATGTAAAAGATCAAATTTGCAAAATCTAAAATACTTTGAATTTTGAGTATGGCATATATTGTGAGTACCAAGTAAAATGTAATACTATATTAAATGAGAATAATATTTATCTCGAGTTCGTGAAAATTCGACATTTTTCGTAATTGTCCGTTTCTGATAAAGTCAAATAAGCGTTGGCGTGACCAGGAGAAAAAATAAATCAGGTTTACACAACCTGCTCTTTATACATTTACATGAACTATAACACATGGAAAGTGACGAAACTGGTCGAAATAATACGATGCATTTGTTGGTTGATTGAACACCCTAACAGAAATTTCAGAATTTTGATAAATCAACTCACCTTTCCTTGCTTTACCCCAAGACACTTGTTCTCCAGGGTTTCCACGACCGCTTGTTCCGTAGAATGGATGAAATTTCCGCATATAGCAAAACTTTCCGCTTCCATGTTGGCCAGTTAATGATTTATTCTAACTAATCTGAAATTGACTTCACTGTGAAAAAAAAACAATATTCAAGTTTGACCTTAAATCTTATCGGGCACTAATTCCGCACTAGTTAAAAATGCAAAAGTTATAAAAAAATATTGACAATTTATTTTAATTTCTCCTGAAGTTTTATCTATAAATTTTTAGCTACAGAATTCGAAATGCAAACCTATAGCTGATCCATTGATGCTTGCTTTATTAAGTAAGTATGCAGTTAAAATCGGGTTTGTATTATATCGTATAAATAAGTCCAAATGTACACAAATGTGACGCGACGGTATTTATTATTCTTAAGCTGTCCTCTAGTTGTATACTATATGGTATAGAATTGGACTATAAATTTAACTCGTAGTACACTGACACCAAATTTATTGTATGTATGACCTATTAGATAAGAAAGGACACAACCTGTTTTGTCGACGGACTATTAAACAACTTGACACTTTCACTGTAATGATAAAGTCGGTTACGTTATGTTACGTCATTAAAAACGGAAATGTCCGAGGGTCACTATTGTATGTATGTTTGTTTATTTATTTATTTTTTATTAATTAATAAGTAAATTAATAAATTAATTAATTTAGTTAGTTAGTTAGTTAGTTAGTTAGTTAGTTAGTTAGTTAGTTAGTTTGTTAGTTTGTTTTGTTAGTGAGTGAGTGAGTGAGTGAGTGAGTGAGTGAGTGAGTGAGTGAGTGAGTGAGTGTTGTTTTATTTTGTTTGTTTGTTTATTTATTTACTTTTAATTAATTAATTAATCAACTAATTAATTAATTAATTAATTAATTAGTGGTGAGTGAGTGAGTGATGAGTGAGTGAGTGAGTGAGTGAGTGAGTGTGAGTGAGTGAGTGAGTGAGTGAGTAGTGAGTGAGTGAGTGAGTGAGTGAGTGAGTGAGTGAGTGAGTGAGTGAGTGAGTGAGTGAGTGAGTGAGTGTGAGTGAGTGAGTGAAGTGTGAGTGTTTATTTTGTTTGTTTGTTTATTTATTTACTTTTAATTAATTAATTAATAAAAATAATTAATTAATTAATTAATTAAATTATTAATTTGTTTATTTATTTACTTTATTTTTTAAATTTATTCATTATTTACTTTTTATTTACTTATTTAATTTTTGTTGATTCATGTTGCTGTTGTTGTTATTTGTTGGCGTTGTTTTTGATGACGTGATCTCAGTTTTGACATTAATTCTATTTCATTTACAGAAATAAATGTCTATACCGTTGAAAATTGAGCTTAAAAGTTCATTACGTTCACTTTAAGAGATTAAAAAATGTTTTTGTATGAGGCTGTCATCAGTATACATGTATTCTCAAACTTAGTTAATATTGTAAACATGTGGAAATACTTTATCTTTTGAAATTGATAGGACTTGTATAATATTGTACAAGCGTGTCTGCAAATGGAAGACGTCGAGCGGTGAGTTGTTTAACATTGAACTGATCAAGAGAGAAATATTTATTTCATAATTCCTACACGCTTTAATGAAATTTATACAAGCTTGGCGTATTGAGACACATTCAGTTTCATAATGTTTTTTGTGTGTTTTTTTAAATCTATATTGTACATAATCTTCTTTAAAAAAAGCTATATTGTACATAAAATGGAGTTGTACGCGCAAAGCATTAACGCAAACGTGTATGCATCTTCATTCAGCCTTGTTTGTGAAACATTATTTCTAAACTTCTAAATTTTCTTGTGATTTATGAGAGTTATTAGAATATACGGTTTTAAAGGGTCTCCACTTAGAGACAAGCCTGGTTCTATGCTTGTGGCGAAATAGGTTAAAGGTTGACTTCAGAAGGTATTGAACCCATAACTCGTGGATGAGTGGGGTAGATTCCTGTTTAGTTGCGTCCCGTTCCGCTTCAGTAACGTTAATGGTGTACACTTATTAACCACATACATAAGTAAACTAGTCAAACTGTTCATGTCCGGAAACATGATTTATCTAATATTATTATATAAATAACACATGGGTTTGTGGGTAACAGTAAAAATATCATCCCAAGGAAAATACTGTTACCCGAGGCGTAGCCGAGGGTAACAGTTTTTTACGAGAGATGATATTTTTACTGTTACTCACAAACCCATGTGTTATTTATTTTATTACCCCGAACAAAAATACTGCGATGATCTGAAATTTTCAACTAAATCTAACTGTAACAAAAATAAACCAAGAGTAACAATGATAACTAAACTGTCCTTACCTTTCAAGTTTTAAGTGTACTTTAGGCCTACTGTACTTGGGAAGTTTTCTTTTTCTTTTATTCTTTATGCAAGTGATGATATCTACAAATCATAAACATACAATAAGCTAGGTTTTATTTAGAGAATAAAACACTAACCCATTTACACGGTTATGATCTGTGAAATCTGATCCTTCTGTTTCCAGAATATTCTTAGCATGGTTTTTGATAAAATAACGATGATATCGTATGTCTGTCCTCCATCTCTGTAACGTTTCACTGATTGAAATTGTTAAATAATCCTTTGTTGCATGCTTAAATCGTCTGCATGTTCCAGTTTGACAATTAATTATTTACATTGCAAGTACTTCCGTTGAAAACGGATGTTCACTTTTTGACTATTCAACAAAAAGATATTTTATACACGAAAAGCACACCAGGGTGCGAACTACTAAATTTTATGGGTGTCATAGATACTCCAGAGAAGAAATTGATGTCCTATCGGGGTTTAACGACGAAAATAAGAATGAATCGAGAAAAAAATGGCGGCCATTTTATTTAGAAAATAGACCACGTGACCAGATTTTATACTGTTAAAAAATACTGTTACCTATGTAACAGTACAAAATTCTTAGTCACGTGGTACACTTGCATTAACAGTAAAAATAACTCCCAGAGGCCTATGGGAAATTAGCATTACGAAAAAAGTGAGGGGTAATAAAATTGAATATCTATACTTTTGAAGCATATTGTCTTTTATCTTCTACAAAAATTTAAAAAAAAAACGCTACGAGTAAGAAAACCTACCATCATCGTAATTCCGAAATGGTTGAAAAAGCACCGTTAAATCTACGGAGCAGAAAACCTTTTCCATTTGGAACATCTTACCGATTTAAGTAACTATTCTTTTAAGAAATTGGACAAAAAGGCGAAAATTACGATTGAAAAAAAAGCATTTCGGTTAAGGTCGAAGCTTTTAAATAGATGTATTTTATGCGGAATAAACACAGTTTGCCGATAAAATACGATTTATGGATAGATGTGTTATTTAAACAAGCGAAAAATAGCGTTTAAATAATGGTTTTATAAAAGTTGGATGATGCTTATTACCTAAATTATTTGTCATCATTTTATCGGCATGTAAATAAAGTCGTATTTTGACTTCCATACAACTTATTAAATCACTATATTTGTACTAAGTGCCGGAAAGCAACAGAAGTAAACGATAATTCAGGTAATTTGCCAATGGATATCTTTTTGAAAACTATAACAAACCACTAAAATACAAGAACCGGTTGAACCGGGTGATGCTCCCCGAATGGTTTTGGACACAGGAAAATATACCTTTTGTAGTTTCAGAGTAATGTCCCAGACAAATTTGAAAGTGTGATAATTCCAAACTTAGGCATGGCAGAGTAACTGTTCTTTGCACTGCACTTCTACTAAATGAGATCTATCTGCCGACTGAGTTTCTTGTTGATACCTCTTATAGTTTCACAGTAATGTCCTAGACAAAGTTCAAAGTGTAAATATGAACAAAGGGTAATAACTCCAAAATTAGGCAAAGCAGAGTTATGGTTCTTTTGCACTGCAAATCTTCCAAATGAGATCTATCTACCTAAAAAGTTTCTTATACATATCTAATATCTAATACTTTCAGACCTACCTACAAAGTTTCAAGTTGATATCTCTTATACTTTTAGAGTTATGTCCCGGACAATTTTCAAAGTGTAAAATTAACAAAGGACATTTACACCAAAAACAGGCAAGGCAGAGTGACGGTTCTTTTGTATTGCACTTCTATTTAATGAGATCTATATGCCTACAAAAATTCATGTTGATATCTCTTATAGTTTTAAAGTTATGTCCCAGACAAAGTTAATGTGTTAAGATGAACAAAGGGCAATAACTCCAAAATTCTTATAGGTTCTTATGCACTGCACATCTACCTAATGAGATATATCTACATACAAAGTTTCAATTTGATATCTCTTATAATTTTAGACTTATGTCCCGGACAAAGTTAAAAGAGTAAAATTAACAAAGGGCAATTACTCCAAATTAGGCGAGGAAGAGTTACGGTTCTTATGCACTGCACATCTACTCGATGAGATCTATCAGCCTACAAAGTTTAATGATAATATCTTTAATAATTTTAGAATTATGTCCGAGACAAAGTTCAAAGTGTAGAAATTAACAAAGAGCAATAACTTCAAAATTTGGAAAGGCAGAGTTACGCTTCTTATGCACTGCTTATCTTCCCAATGAGATCTATTTACCTACAAAGTTTCATGTTGATATCTTTTGTGGTTTAAGAGTTATGTCCCGGACAAAAAGCGGACGGACGGACGAACAGACGGACGGACGGACAAAGCGGCGACTATATGCTCACCCTTAGGGGAGCATAAAGATACACCTCTGAGGCACGAGGATCATTGTATTAGATTGTTTAAATAAAATATTACATGTTCATCAGGTGACAAATCGCCATTTGGCCTTACAACAAGTGGAATGTTGGTTTATAAATGTTAAGGTTTAGTGAATATTTTCAATAAAAACATGTGCATATGTGCATACTATATTTTAAGGTTATTTATCTTAATGTCAAAATAATCAAGTGTATATATCTACATTACAATTATTAAAGATCCATTGTGCCTTAGAAATGGTTTAATTTCTCAAAAGTTTTTTTTTCTTATTATTTTTTTTTTCATTTTTTTAACTTTATTTATTTTATTTGCTTGCTTGCTTGCATACTTGCATACTTATTGCAAACACTTTACTTAACAGTACTTATTAATAACTTAACTTAACTTAACTTAACTTTACTACTTTACTTTACTTTACTTAATGTAACTTAACTTAACTTAACTTTTTACTTTACTTTTTACTTTACTTTCTTTACTTTACTTTACTTTACTTTACTTAACACACTTTTTTATGGTTTTAAAACATAAATATGATGCTCAAATTAAGATTTTCAGTATTGTAGGTTTCAAAAAGCATTATTTATAAAGACATTACCGAATTTAACATTTCAAGTAAATAAAGGGAGGTAATAAAAATTGATTTTCTATAAAGTATAAGTCAAATTTTACAATAAGAAATGAATGCACATATTTCAATGATTACATATACCGGTAATATAGACAAATATTTGCAGTACATATTTTACATATTCTTCGATGTTTGAAAATTGTTTTATTTTGCATAATTATGTACA